GAGCTGTCAGCACAGAGTCCGATGCGGGGCTCCAACTCATGGACCATGAGATCATGCCCTCATGCCCTCAGCCAAGTCAGACACTCAACCAATTGAGGGAGCCACCAGGCACCCAGAAATTAAATTAATGACTTTATAGATACTTTTGGGGGATAAACATTTTCTGAATATGTTTATTTTTCTTTCATTTTTTAAGGATATTTTGAACTGATATAAATTCTAGAAGACTGAATTTTCTTTTTCTTTTCAGCCTTTTAAAAATATTCCAGGGACACTTGGGTGGCTCAGTGGGTTGGATTGGGACTCTTGATTTCAGCTCAAGTCATGATCTCATGCTTCATGGGTTCAAGTCTGGAATCAGTCTCTGTGCTGTATCAACTTGAAATTTTCTCTCCCTCTTTTTCTGCCCCTCCCCTATTCATGCTCTCTCTCTCAAAATTAATAAATTTAAAAAAATATATCATTCCATGTTCTTCTGGTGTTAAGAACATTAGCTGTATTTCTTATCACTATTCCCCATATGTAATGTTTCTTCTTTCCCTTAGCTACTTTATGGTTTTCTTTTTATCTTTGCTTTTAATCAGTTCATTATAATGTGCCTACTGTGGATTTCTCCTGATTCAAGTGTCCTAAGATTCTTGGGTTTGTGAGTTGGAAGTTTTATTGATTTTTTTGCTGTTGTTTTGTTTCTTGTTAGTCAAATGTACAAAAGTTTTTACTATAGTTTTTGATTTTTCTGCTCGTTTTTTTTTTATGGTACTTCTCTTACACTGTTTTTAAATTGCTTGATGTTTTTCAACAAGTTTCTAAATCTTTACTGTCCCCTTTTTTAATCTTCACTGTGTAGCTTAGATTGGATAATATATATTTTTAAAAAAACTATTTTCAAGTTTATTTATCCTTTCTTCTGTTTTGTCAAATATTGTCATAATCCTATTTTAATTTTATGTCTTTACTTAATTTTAAGTCTTAATTTTCTGTTTAGGGATACGCATTAATTTTTAAAAATTATTTCCATCTCTCGGGGCGCCTGGGTGGCTTAGTCGGTTAAGCGTCCGACTTTCGCTTGGGTCATGATCTCGTGGTTCGTGGGTTCAAGCCCCGCGTAGGGCTCTGTGCTGACTGCCAGCTCAGAGCCTGGAGCCTGTTTCAGAGTCTGTGACTCCCTCTCTCTCTGACCCTCCCCTGCTCACGCTGTCTCTCTCTCTCCTAGAAATAAATAAAACATTAAAAAAAAAATAAAAATTATTTCCATCTCTTAAAATTCCCAAATATTTATTATTATTAATTTCCCAATTATTTATTAGTTGTATCCATATTTTTCTTAAATTATTTACATGTTCATCATAGTCTCTTTAAAGTCTGTGCCAACTAATTCTAATATTTGTAGTAAATGTGAATTTGCTTCTATTGATAGTTTTGATTGGGTAACATTTACTTGCTCTTTAAAATTTTTTATAATGCTTTATTAAATTATAATATTATAAACAAAAGATCAGTGGATTTTGAAATAGAAATACTTATATTTACATAGTTATAATTGTAGTTATAAACACAAAAGATTAAGGGCGCCTGGCTGGCTCAGTCCGTTGAGCATCAGACCTTGGCTCAGGTCATGATCTCACTGTATATGAGTTCAAGCCCCACATCAAGCTCTATGCTGACAGTTCAGAGTCTAGAGCCTGCTTCAGACTCTCTGTCACCCTCTATCTCTGCTCCTCTCTCACTCACACTTTGTCTCTCTCTCTCTTTCTAAAAAATAAATAAAAATTTAAAAAAAAACACATGACCAATACATATACACACAAAAAATAAACATACGCAAATATATTCATTTATTGTTTTCCAGAGAATGTAAGTCCTTCCCTCTGCATGTTAGAAAAGCAAAGGGCGGGGCACCTGTGTGGCTTTGTCGGTTAAATTCTTATTCAGCTCAGGTAATGGTCTCATGGTTCTGGGTTCAAGTCCCACATCGGGTTCTGTGCTGACAGCCAACTCAGAGCCTGGAGCCTGTTTCAAATTCTGTGTCTACCTCTCTCTCTGAACTTCCTTTGCTCACGCTGTCTCTCTCTCTCAAAAATAAATAAAACATTAAAAAAAAAATAGAAAGGCAAAGGGCATAACAGTAAGATTCCTTAAAGAATTGACTTAAGCAGGATTGTCCCCACTTTAAACCAGCTCGATGGCATCTCCACTTCTCCGATACTCCAACCAGATACGTTGCCACTCTGATCCGAGCTCATTATTTTATTCTCTATTTCAGCTGAGAGCGAGGCTGGCCCAGAGTTTCAGATCATTTTGGTTTGCCTTTAAATTAATTTGACTTTGTTCGTTTTAATTATTGTGCCTTACAGTTTTAATATTTTTATTTTCCTTTTTATATATTCTAGTACATTGTAAAAACTCTTAACCCTTGTCTTTAATTTCTTAAAAGTAATAACCACAATTATTTTTCTGTAACATTTCTAATATGTACTTTATCTAGAAAGTTGGTAAGTTGGTTTGTGTTCTGTGTTGTCTCTTGGTTTGCTCCTGTTTTGGCTTTTTGTAACCTTGGTAAATTTTAATCAATTACTGCAGATAATTGGAGGCTCTGAATGGCTCTATTTTCAGGAGGATTTATTTCAGTTATAGCAAGCTGAGGTAAGATTCCTAATACTCTCAATATCATCAAGATTGATGCAATTCAGATGTTGACTTCAGTTCCTATGAAACACACTCTATGTTTGCATACTCATAAAATTCTGGTAGAGTCTTTAAAAGCCTAGAATGTTTACCTGTATTCCAACCTCTTTATAAATGAGGCCCTGAAATCTGATTCTACTCATTCACACCAGTACCCCATTAACATTTTTGGAATCAGTGGACAACTCAGGAAGAAAGTAGCCCAAATACCATTTATTTTGACTTAAAACTTGTTGTAATTTTGATCTAGCAATTCTTAGCTGATAGTGATCCAGAGTTTATATATAGATTATTTTTTTAAGTCCTGCTAAAGTGTTTACTCATAAGAGTGATTTAAACAATCGAGTCTAATGCTTTCAAAAGTTATAATTGATATAAATATCATGTTAAGTTTCTATATATGAGGGTGGTTGGTAAGAATATTCATTCTGTGATAAACGCAAAATTATTTAGACTAGGCAACAAACATGGAAGATTATCACTAGAAATCTGTTCCAGTAAATTTCATAGGTGACTATGAAACGTAGGATTATTGTCATTCAAAATTCAGGCTTAAAAATGACAGAATAATGTGCAGCCATTATTAATATCTAACTCTATTTACCAAATAAACCCTCTATTCGTTGTAAATTAACTGCCCAAATGTTCCCTAAACATACTAGCTAACTTTGTATCTCTTTGATTTGTTCATTCCATTTTATCTTCCCAAACTTCCTCTATTCCAACCCATACTATTTCCATTTTCACTTCTCATATAGGCTCCATCTTTCAGGAAATTGTGAACATTGATTTCCCCATAAACCTGGGATATTTGGCCAGAACTTGACTCACTTTGAACTTACATTGCCTCCTGTTTAAATAAAATTCAGCACATAAAATATATCTCCCTCTAAGCGCCATTCAAGATTCTAAAGAAATAATGACTTTAAAATCTATGTGAACATTTATTTAGCTTAACACAAAGATAATTTTTTTATTATTAGATTTGTCCTTTTATCAAACTCTGTCTTACATAGCAACATATTGTTTGCTGGCATGCATGGCCTAAAAAACCTTAACATATGTCTATAAAAAAATAAAAATAAGGGATCTCCATTTTTTGCTGACATAAAGGCTGTGGTCCTCAATGTTTAAGTCATTGCAGAACATAAGGGTAAATACCCACACAATCTGATCCCCAAATCTTTACACCAAGCATAATTGATTTCCTTCTTACATACCATAAAGAAAGGAATTCCATCAAAATGTATTCACTGGGATTCGAGGGTTTGGTTACTTTTCGCAACTAATATTGGATGAGTCTAATGGAAGTTATTCAAGCTTTATATTTAGTATTTTCTGATAATATATAGTCACAAGTTAAATTTATATTTAATTTTTTTCATGTGCAAATGTACCATTATACCCAAATTTTATTCTTTCCTTCTGTATTTTGTATATATCTACCATTTTTTTGTGATTTTCTTCTCCTATGATGAGAGATACAAAGACTCACATGATTTAAAGGATTAGATTTTTCTAGTTCTTGAGATTTTTTTTTACACAAAGTTTATATAAAATAGAAAAAGTCTAAAGACAAAAAGTTAAAGTATTTTTTAAAGTTTATTTATTTATTTCGAGAGAGAGGCAGTGAAAGCAAGCAGAACAGGGGCAAAGTAAGAGGGAGAGAGAATCCCAAGCAGGCTCTGCGCTGTCAGTGCAGAGTCCCATGTGAGAGGCTCAAACTCAGCAACCACGAGGTCACTGGAACTCTCCCCAATGGCAAGATCATGACCTGACCTGCTGAAGTCTGACACTTAACCAACTGAGCCACCCAGGTGCCCCTAAAGCCAAAAATTTTATTTCAGGTTCCCTAACTTCTATCTCCTATGCCTCTATGATTTCAAAGCTTACTTTGTGAAGCAAATATGTATATATATATATATATATATATATATATATACACACATACACCCAATATATTAGATATATTTGTATCCAATAAATAGTAAAATAAATTCCTAGTCAAGAAATATGTGATAAGCAATCATCGAAATGACAAATTTGGATGCTGGAATAAATGTGTTTATTTACTTAAAATCATTCAATTTTTCTAATGTTTAAAGGCTATGTAATAACTGTTTGATTTCCATCACCAATGGAGCTATATGATTGAAAGCTCACATTTATTGCTTAGTTTTACATACTGTAAGAACCAATCTGAAAGCTAAGCTGGGTGGCCATAGAAAGGGTGAACAATTAGTCTTTGGAGACCATAGAGAGTTATTTCTTGTGAGAATAAAAATAGTTAGCATTCTGTAAAAAGATCCAGACATTCAACAAGTTAATCTATAGAAGCCAGATCCATAGATTGGTTTGTAGCATACTGACTGGAGATTCCTAAAGCCAAAATAGGTTGGGTGGCAGAATGTGGATCCAGAGCTCAAGGTGGGGAAGCCACGGACTCTATAACCCAGGGGCCTGAAGCTGCTGGGCCCAGCATAAGTCATCCAGCAAGGACTGCAGAGCGTGGAGGTCCTCGGGAGATAGCAGGACATCTGGCAGGGGCTGGACACCACGCAGGACTTCCGGCAGCTGGTGGGCTCACAGTGGGTCTCCTGGAAGCCGCTGTAGAGGGAGGAGCCCAGCTGGCAGGCGCTGGGAGAGCAGAGGTCCGTGTTGCTGGGGTAGGAGGAGCCACAGGAGGAGCTTGGGTAGCGCAGGTAACCCCCAAGGGAGCGGGAGGAGAAGTTTCCAGAGCAGGAGCTAAAGCACATGTTTATAGGAGGTGTGAGTTCAGCTGAGAAAACACTGAGAGTCCTGAATTCACTCTGAGAATATTCTGAGGTCTATTCTACCTCCTAGACTGTAGCATTTATATAGTCTCAGCTGCAGGTGTCGAAAGTGACAATGACATCATCCCTATGTTTGTACATCTTCATTTGCATAGTACTAACTCAATCATCTTCTCTGTAATTGCAGCTGCATAGTTTCCCACCTATTGCATTTATGAGGACTATAATAAACTTTGTTATAAAACAAAGCCAATGAACTATTCTTATGTCAGAAATGTTATGACCGTTTCACATTAATGGCCATGCCATTTTGGCCAAGAACGCCCCTCCCTTTCTTCCTGGTATATGCTGTACCTGTATCTGATCCTGGTTTTGCTGGGGGTATGAGTTCCTTGTAAGGGTGGAGATGAAAATGACATCATCTTTCTTTCTTCCTTTTTTTGGTTATTTGGTTAGAGGCATAGCTTTGGCCTTGCCAAAAAGCCTTCTAAAGATTGAAAACCACTTGCTTTCATTCATTCATTTTTATCCAAAAATTTTTTTCAGGTATTAATATTACTGCAGAATATCTCATACCAGATAGAGAAGGCCTAACAACGTCACAAACTGACTGGAGAAAGGCTTGGAACAGAGGGAACCCTGGACAAGTATTTGGAAGCAAGATGTAAGAACAGTACATTGAAACAGAGTTGCAAATGGAGACCAATCTAAGCCCATGAGAAGAGAATCAAAGAGCATGTATCAGTTGAGGTGAGAGTAAAAAGTAAATGATCAGTCTTATGAACCATGAGATCATGACCTGAGCCAAAATCAAGAGTCGCATGCTTATAAAGTAGTGAAAATGATAGATAAAACATTTCCAAATGTTGGCAATTTGAAAATAAACATATAGATAAACTCTTTTAGTCCATTCCAGCTGCTATAACATAGTATCACAGACTGAGTCACTTATACACAACAAACATTTATTTCTTACAGTTCTGGAGGCTTTGACATCCAAGATCAAGGCACCATCACATTAGGTGTCTGATGAGATCCACTTCCTAGGTGCTCATCTTTTCACTGTAACATCAATGAGCAGAGTGTTGTCCTGGGTCTCTTCTTCAAAGGGCTAACTAATCTCATGTACTAAATGCAATCCAGATATCGTATTGGCACAATATACACTTCCATGATTTTTTCCCTAAAGTAGAATTATCTATCCACATTTAAAATTATTGGGAGATTTTATATTAAAATGTTGGCTTTGCTAAGTGTCCATCAACTGACGAATGGATCAAGAAGGTGTGGTTTATCTATACAATGGAATACTACATGGTAATGAGAAAGAATGAAATCTGGCCATGTGTAGCAACATGGATGGAACTTGAGGGTGTTATGCTGAGTGAAATAAGTCAGGCAGAGAAGGACAGATACCATATGTTTGCATGTATAGGAGGATTAGGAGGAACTTAACGAAGGACCATGGGGGAGAAGAAGGGGAAAAATAGTGGGGGAGAGGGAGGGAGGCAAACCATGAGAGACTCTTGAATGCCGAGAACAAGCTGAGGGCAGATGGGGTAGGGGAAGGGAAGGGGTGTGATGGTCATGGAGGAAGGCACTTGTGGGGATGAACACTGGGTATTATATGGAAACCAACTTGACAATAAACTATTTAAAAAATAAAAATAAAAAGATACTAAATAAAAAAAAACAACAACAATTAAAATGTTGACCCTGAGTTGGGGAACTAATGGGTTACAAATGGGTATATGATTCCCATCTCTGTTTTCTACCTATTTTTTTTCATCTGGTTTGTGGAACCAATAAATTCCCATTATACGCTTTAGATCCTACTTTTGCCACCCATCGAATTATAGGAGTTGCTCTTTATCTGGTCACTAACCATCCGGAAGATTCAACTCTAATTAATCATCTTAACAAGTAGCTAGGCACTTAAAAGCCATGACTTGGAATATTAAGATTGATGCCAACAGACGATGTGTTGTCTATTTGTTATCTAGAAGGTATTTGACTAGGGGTCATTTGTATCCCAGAAAATGGTAAATACATCCACTGGAAAGCCATACCATAACCGCAAAAGCATAATGGTTTTAAAAAAGGGAGAAGAATGTAGCTCTGAATTTCAGATTTTTTCCTCCTCATTAACAGACAACATTTAGTACATATTTTTTGCCAGTCTTCTGCCTAGATATTCTCTCTAATTTTTTGTTGTTCGAAATTATCTTCAATTTTGAAGCACACATTTATTGAGCATAGCATTCTGTTGAACAAGCATCTGTGTTCTTTCAGAAATTTGAATATTTCATTCAATTATCTTTTGTAAATAATTCATAGTTTAGCCGCATCATCACTTTTTTTGCCCCTTTTAAAAGGAAACCAGCTTTCTTTCTCAGATTTCTTAGAAACATTTCTGTCATTGGTGTTCATGAGTTTTACTAGTGTGTAGATGTATTTTCTCAGTCTTTATCTCACTTTTACTTTTTACCCTTTATTGGCTTTGGTTTGGAAAAATTTTTAGCAGGTTCTCCCCAGTATAGGATCTCCCCAATTCTCTCTCTTACCTGTTTTAGGATTCCGAGTACAAGTATGTTAAATCCTTTCACTATGGTCCATATTTGCATAAATTCTTTTCACCTGTTGTCTCCATATATTAGTTTAGGTAAATGGTTCTTTGATCAAGAGCAGTTGTGTCTTCTATCCTCCAAGGAATATCTGGTAATATCTGGAGAGACAGTTTTGGTTGTCATGTCTAGGGGAAGTCTCTGATCTGTTTTGTGTTCATTTCCTCCTTGTTAAAACACCTGAATTTTAAAATAGTCTTTTCATAGATCTGTTTGAGGGTCTAAGGAAATAATGAGTAGGACATTGTTTGAACCTTGATTATAGCACTAGATAAGGATAATGTCTTTTTGTAACTTGTTTTTATTCCTTGGTGACCTGCTGCTTATCTTAGTCTCATATGGGCTTCTTTACCTATTAGCCTGTGAAAGCTGAGAATGTTACCCAAAGAGTAAACATATAGCGCCCCCAAATTTATAGTGACATCCAAATGAAATAGACAAGCCTGCTGCCATAAAAAGCTTTTTGTTTTCACTTATATTTAGTTTGGGTTTTAGTAAAGCCCTAAAGGGGAATCAGCCACATTCTCCCCACTGAAAATATCTTTCCATACATATCAAAAAGTGAATTACATTGGAGACTCATTACCAGATGCATGAATCTGGACATTTTAAAATAAGAGTTAGGTGGGGCACCTGAATGGCTCAGTCGGTTAGGCGTCCGACTTCAGCTCAGGTCATGATCTCACAGTTTTTGGGTTCGAGCCCCGCGTCGGGCTCTGTGCTGACTGCCAGTTCAGAGCCTGGAGCCTGTTTCAGATTCTGTATCTCCCACTCTCTCTGACCCTCCCCTGCTCCCACTGTCTCTCTCTCTCTCTCAGAAATAAATAAAGCATAAAAAAATTGAAAAATAAATTAATAAAATAAGAGTTGGGTAAGCTCATTAGAATTTATTTAAGACTCTTACAAAGTTTTAAACTGGCCTTTTAGTTTTTCTTTCATTTATTATACTAACCATGTAAACCTAAATGATATTCTTGTTCATGAAATTCCTGATGAATCTGTCAGCTGCATAGTCACATTCCCTCTGTACACATAGATAAAATCCATGTTTTTTGAAGGACAGAAAATATATCCTAAGTCTCAGAACTTCACTCATAAGACTCTAAAACTATAAAATATATTGGGGTGCCTGAGTGGCTCAGTTGGTTAAGCATCTGATTCTTGGTTTTGGCTCAGGTCATGATAGTGTGGAGATACTTAGGATGCTCTCTCTCCCTTTATCTACCCCTCCCCAGCTTGAGTGTGTGCACTCTCTCTCTCTCTCTCCCTCTCTCTCTCTCTCTGTGTCTCTCTCAAAACAAATAAATAAACTTAAAATAAAACTATAAAATATGGCTGTCCAGTAACTATAGTTTGAATGAGAAAAATATCTATAGTCCAAAGGAGTTAGATCAAATTCACAGACTTTCAAAATTTACTCTGAGATGCATATTGAACTCTTATTAAACCTGCCAAATCAAACTTAACACAAATTCTGGTCAATAATGTATAAATAATAACATGAAAATATTTCAATGCCAGAATGAGTTAGTTTATTGGATTATAATTATTTTACTTTTTATCCATTTGGAAAGTAAATTATTATGAATTCCATCTGTAATGCTCATATTATACTTATTTTGGAGTTAAGTCATTAAATTAAAAGGATTCAGGAATCAGTCTATTAGACTATGCTCAATGGACAGAGATTGGTAAGGAACTGGCTATCAAAGACTAAGATAATTGCCACTGAAAATAATGAATATTATTTTATTATTTGAATGATGGAACTCTGAGTAGACATTTTGTGACTTTGCATAAATGTACTAGAACTCAATAAATTGACTAGTAGAAGCCAGATAGATAGATAGGTTGGCAAAAAGATGGCTGGAGGCTACTAGAAGCAAAGTCAACTGAGTGGCAGAACTTGGACCTATAACTCAGGAAAGAGAAGCCGCGGACTCCGTAACCGAAGGGTCTGTAACCACGGGATCCATAGTCCAGTGAATAGCAGCTCCTAGATCCATAACCCAGAAAGAAGCCATTGCTGGACCCAAAGTCCATAGATATATACGGTATAAGTTGACTGGCAGGGACTGCAGAGCATGGAGGGCCTCTGGCAGTAGCAAGATGTCTGGCAGGGGCTGAACACCACACAGGACCTTTGGCAGTTGGTGGGCTCACAGCAGGTGTCCTGACAGCTACTGTAGAGAGAGGAGCCCTGCCTATGTACTGGGAGAACGGAGGTCAGTGCTGTAGACCAGATCGTTGGAGTAGGAACAGCCACAGGAGGAGCCTGAGTAGCTCAGGTAGCCCAAAGGGGAGCAGGAGGAGAAGTTTCCAGAGCAGCAGTTGTGGCTCATGTTGACAGGAGACTGAGAAAATTCTGAGGTTTAAGGT